TTGAATTCCTTAGCTAACATGAACAGCCCGGGCTTTGGAGATGTTCCTGAAGTCTTTTCTCACAAAAACCTGTTTGATAACTGAGGCGAAGCGAAGCAACACCGTATCAGTGGCTCACATGTAAGTAGTGTTTCTCTGCTGTTTCCCTCCATGTGTCTGTGATGTTGATGTTAGATCTGCAGGGTGAATCTGAAGATCATAAAACAGGACTGTTTACTATCTTTCCATTTTTATTAGGATGTATGATTATGAAATAGTAACAGTTAACAATGAAAATAAATGTGTATAAATGTTTGTTTTTTTTTGTCTGCATATGTGATTTTTAATTACAACCATGCAGAAGCATCTAAGGTATTTTGATATCCGTTTTTTTTAAGCAATTAAATTAAAAAAGAAAATCTCATGTAATATGTAATTACTTCTTATATATGCAATATATAGAAACTGTGAATGTCATGGGTTTGGGGCCCATATCCTAATATTTTGTTCGGGGCCCAGCCGATGCCTTATATATCAGCTGGCCTTATATTGATATACATAGATGTAAAAACTTTATTTAATTTTTTTTATTGTTCTGGCTTCAGCAACTGTAAGGTGCAAATTAAGTTTCTCTGACAAATACACTATTAAAATTAAAGTGGAAATTCTGGCCAATTTACAATACAAGATTATAGAAAAGACTGTTTATGGGACAGGTGTCCAACTGACAGTCATTATAAGCCCCCAAAGATCATAAAGAGGATTTTTTTTCAAACATCTTAATGAAAAGTTAAGTGGAAGGAAAAAGGATGGTAGAAAAAGTGAACAAGGGAACGTAGCAGCCTTTTTAAAGACTGTGCAGCATATCGCAACAAAGAGTTTGTGGGAATTTGGGTGAATTAAAAAGAAAGATTTATTTTTCTTTGCTTTAATTTAGGAAGCAGTGCATAGAGTCAGAAAAACTCTTTCATTTTCTCAAAGACCTGGCAGAAGGAACCACATCTACGGCAACTCAGAAGGACAACAGAGGCATGAATATATGGCCTCTATACAGGTAGGTCAAGTTTTCTTTCTAAGCTGGATGGTCCTTTGTTTGGGATGCTGCAGGTTGGTTCTTGTTCCCTGGTTTTGTCCAAACAAGCTGGTTTGGTGGATCTCTTAGTATTTTTGTAGATGGTTGGTTTCAGAGCAAAATCATTAAGCAAGAAGATATTTTACAAACTGCGACCATACTAATCCCAACAGAACATTTTAATGTGCAACAAACCATCATAAGGAAGCCACCGTTATGTTCTAGTATTTAGGCCAACTGTCACTAGCAATGAAACCTGATTGCGTGTGTGTTACTTATCTTTCTTTGGAAACCCTAAAGAAATGTATTCAAAAACACATGTTATATAGAAATGTGTGTAGTTGATTTTATATGATACCAAAAAGTGTTAAACAATATGTTTATTACTGCATCTTTTGCTTTATTTTATGTGCTTGTGAACCTTATTACATCAGTTCGTGATTGTAAATCGACTGACCCATCACCTACAATATACATAAATCGGAAAATATGGGCAGATATTGATTTGCAGTATAAATTTTGTAGTTTTGGCAAAAGTTTTGATATCCTAGATGTGTTCCCTATCCATTGGACGCCATGAAAAACGGACCACATTACTAAAATCGATTCTCTGCTTCAGTTAAAAACCCACAACCCTGAGCTGCATCACAATCGATGTCACATGACCAAATAAACGCCACATGACCAATCCTCTCCCCTCCCAGTCCTGAAAAAGCAGCTACATAGAAATGAACTCTGTCTGTTAATATTTTTCCAGTTTTAGATATGCTGAAATATGAGCTATATTGATCAATACCGATAGATCTTTCATCCTTAATCTGCAGCAATTCCTTGTCTTTATTCATATCGGCTTTTCTACAAACAACTGGGCTAAAACTCGACAGATTCTCTTTACGATTTTGATTTTCCCTCAATTCTTTTTGCAGCTTTTACATCATGGCATTATACGTATAGAAGAAACGAGTCAGTTTTAAGAAAGTAAATAGTAGAAAGTAATAAAAAAAGTACTCAAGTAAATTACAGATACTGAAAAACACCACTTAAGAGAGTAACTAAATACTGATGCTTGGATATTTGACTGCTCTGGATGAAATAAAGCAACATTATAGTGATTGATGCAAAAAATCTCTGCAGTGAATGAAGAAACCGATGAGTTCAAACAGAAAGCAATTATATCACATCATTGCCACTGTGATACACATTGTTTCTGTCAGGGTGTCAGGGTGTCATGGTGTTATTTATTTTCAATTGAAATGGGGTTTATACATAATTTGAATATACAGGTGACCATGTGTTATTGTCCTGATTCAAAGAGTCTCATCATTTACAAAGGGTGTGTATAAAAATTACCATGTATTTTTTCCAGCTGTAAATCTTTAATACATATAATAGTTTTTTATGTTTAATATGCATCCCAAAAAAACGTTTTAAAACAATCCACTGGACTTTGTTTTCAAGTTTGAAGACGTTTTGCTTCCCATCCAGGAAGATTTTTCAATTCAAAATGTCATAAATAGCGTTGAGTTTGGGGCTTTATACAGCAGCCCAACAAAGCCTTGTTTTTGCTTAGAAAACAAACAAATTGAAACCGACAAACGGGTCCACCCCTTTGGAATGGGGGTCGTTTGGCTACTTTTCTCAGCCTGCAGCTTAATATGCATCCTTAAATAATGTGACTGGTGTCTCTTTTAATCAAAATTGCAACATTATTCAGTTTCTTTTTTTTAAGGACCAAAAGGAACAAAATAGCCGTTTCATCCGGAACAGGAGAGATGGCGACCCCAAGGAGCCTCGGCCCCCCTGAGAATGACTCCAGCTCAAGTGTATGTATCTAGTTGCTGAACACAACTTCTGAGAAAGAAATGTGTTTGTTTAAAGACTGCAGCAGTGATTAATGTATTGATTTTCAACCTTTAATGGTTCATTTGAAAAGTTTTTCAACCATATAAAACATAACTTTTAAAAACAGGAATTAGGGGTTTAATCTGCTTGTGGTTTTCTCCATTCCGCACAAGCTAAATGCTACTTGCATGGCATGCTTTTTCAGGAATACTCTGGATATTTGATCACTCGTCTCACTAAAAAAATACATTTAAATTAATTAGTTTTCCAGCTTCATAGATACATATACTTTTAAATTTTTAGTCTTTTAAGTGTGCTGCATGGAATCACAGACCAGTTCCAACAGCCTAAAGTGTCTCATTGATGTAGCTGGATAAGTCCGTATCAACATTCAGCTTTTACAATCCAACCCGCATAGAAATGCAGCCTTAAGCATGAAGCCTCCACCTCCGTGCTTATAGTTGGTACTGTATCAATGACTCCTTAAAATTGTCATATTTATTTTTTCCTCATCTGAACATAAAACAAATGACCAGAAGATCAAGCGGCTCTTCCATACCAGGTGCTGCAAATTACTGGAAGGCTTTTACAGGGTTTCCGCGGGTCATTAAAAACCATTAATTTTTTTCTAAATTAAGGCCTGAATTGGCATTAGAATTCATTAAATGTGATTATTTTGGCATTTAAAATGCTTTATTCAAAACAAATTTTTTTAGAAAAACAATTTAAATGATATATATATTTGCAAATATATCGCAATATATTTGTGCGGAACTGCTTCCCACTGATCGTTAAGCCGTATGTTCGGAAAAGAAGCTTATGGCGGAGAAAAAGCTGTAGAATGGGGAAAATGCTAATTTCGAGAAAAGTGGCTGGAAATCAAGGAATTGCAGCCTGCTGACAGTAAAGATGAAGAAGGAATTTGCTGTGTATATATGAGAGTCATGAGTACTTGTTGCATTAAAATTAATCTTAAGAGCATTAAAAGAGCATTAAATTAGAGTTGCTCATTCCCGTATAAACCCTGTTATAGGTACAGAGTATCATCTAATGGTCTAGACATTATGTTTTGCTTCATGTAGATGTAACCACACGTTTTCCAACCTAACTGTGATTTCAAACAATCTCAAACTGGTTTTGGAAAGCCTTGCACAAAGCACTGACCTCTGTCTTCTTGAACAATTAGCCTATGTGTGTTTTGCAAGGAAAACCTCTAAATAAACTTTAAGTTTTCTGACATGTGTTACCAGATATCCAGGCAGGCAATCGCTGTAGATTTGACAGAATTGGCACTTTAAATAACTCCTGCTGTTGCATTTAGAGCAAACATGATCCCAACAAAAATACATTGTATTCATGCCCATGAGGAGTCTAAGTAAACTCACAGGCACTAATGTTCACTAAATCTCATGGACGCACCCTCTGGTGGTTGCCAGAAACTCACTTCTTCCCTTTCTGTTTTCCAGGAGTCTGAGCTCTTCATCTGCGTATAACATGGACCTCTAGCTTCACAGTTCCTGTTGACATTTCTTTTAAGGTTTGCTGCATCTCAGATCAGCTGAAACTGCTGGGACGTGTTTGCTTACATTAAAAGCCAGATTATTTTTGGAGAAAAAAAAAAGTCCACATAGCAGGTTGAATCTGCAAAAAATGAAAAGCTTTGGTAAAAGATTGTCCCTGGAAGTTAATTTTGTTTTGCTACGGGGGTCTTAAGTGACTCAAAATGAGGTTATGTAAGTAAATATATAAACTTTTGTGTTGATAGAAGGGTTTAGTGTTTTGATTATGATCTTAAGATTTAATATTTCCTTTTGTTTTTGCCCCTGTGGCTTACCCCTAGCCCACCCCAAAATAAATCTATTTTTCTTTTCCCTTAATTATACAAGGGCTGATGATGCAACAATCCTTAAAATGTGAATGCTTTCTATATTTAACTATAGCCGTTGTGTTTCCAGTTTTACAGCACTTGTAAATTAACTTTTTAAACAAAGTGATGTGCAAACCAATGCAAAGGGTCAATAAAACTAAGCAAGAGCTTAAAGCAACGTGTTTATTCTGAGAAACGTTTTTCTTTAAACGGATTATGATGTGAAGAATAAATAGAGGAATTCTGATCTTAGAGTATTTTACTGCATATTTACATTTTGAAGCCATATATAGCAAATTAAAGTTGCTACAGGCATTAAAAAAACAAACAAAAAACAAACACTTGCTTCAAGTCTGATTGATGCTTGTCCTGGATGTAATGAACTGTGGTGAAGATCAGGTCCTAACCCCTCCTATTCAACATGTTTAAATGAGACATGCATCTTTGTTTAAATCCTCTTTCCTACAATGACTCAGAATGAATACAATAAGTACAAAAACATTCAATTTTAAAGCATCTAAAGCCACTTTGTAATTGATATTGATGCCAATTCTCAGTGGTTCAGTAGATTCTGTATTATCCAATACATTTTAAACCAGTCCAAAAAAAAGCACAGTTCATTTAGGTTCTTCTTGAAGAACTGAGCCAAACACTGAGGGAGAATTTTCAAGTTAGATTTGTCCAGAAATGAAAAGATTTACACATACAGTGACGGAGGAGTCTGTGTTGGTAACTCGCTCCACAAGTGTAAAACTGTTCTGGTCCAAACAGGGGAGAAAAAAAAAAAAGAAAACATTACAGCACAGCATTCTCAGAAAAGTCGGGCTCCATAGCCAAAAGTCTGTTTAATAGCTTCAAAGTAGTATCTCTTCCAGCCGCCTTTTGTCTGTTCCTCTTCACTGTTGGGGACGCCTCTGCACTCCACTTTCAGCTCCGTCTCGCTGCTGCGGTCCAAGAACATCAGGGTGATGGTTGCGTAATGTTCTGAAGGGAAGAAAATTTACATTTCTTATCAAGTCTGAAACTTAAAAGATACCGTTTAGTAGAAAGACCAGAAATTATGATATTTATTCAGCTGGAAAAAAAAGCTTTCATTTTTAAAACCCAGAAAGCAGAAAGAAAAATCAGACCTACTTCATACGTTACAGTCGAGCTGCAATTTATTCTGTTGTTAAGAGCCTAAAAACTCCTACCGTTTCATGAAGACATAGCGCCTTCATCTTTTTGTGCGGTCAACAATAAGAACTCTCTCCTGGGTAGGAATTGAACTCTGGACTTATATGCCACGGCTTTGTTTTCGTCAACAATGACGAAATTATTTCATTGATGCTCAGTTTTTTCACGATAACAAGAACTGACGAGCTAAACATGGTTCTCTGATGATGAAAACATGACAAGTCATGGGTGTGAGATTTTTTTGATGGGACAAGACTGAATAAAAAATTTTAGCAGGTTGGATGTTTAAAATTAATCATTGTGCTGTAATCTGCTAAGCAGCAACAGCCAAGCTGCAGCATCCTGTTTGGTCATGCCCACCACCTGGTTTGCAACGGTGCACATTCTGCATGACCACAGATCCATGGGAGCAGCTGCAGGGGTAAAAGTATGCTGGAATGGTCTGTTACTGCGCGCTGAACTCTCAGAAACTCTGCTCTTCTCTTCTACCTGCCCTCACTACTTAAACTATGCTGCAGATCATCCTCTACCAAGTGTAAAAAAATCCTTTTGTTTAACAATCAAGATTTTATTTTTTCAAGCTTAGAAGAGGTTATGCAAAAACTTCTTTAATATTTATCAGAAGGAATCCCTAAATTATATCCAAAGCAAATACTTTATTGCATACAGTTAATTTTTAGATAGAGACCCAGGTGAAAAGGTACATAGATCTTTACATATTTCTCTCTTTGTTCTCGTTTCTATTTAAATATGATGTAAATGTTTCCTTGTATTTTCATTAAAACATTTTCTATGTTTCTTTTGAATATGCCAACATTTTAGTTAGCATTATATTTAGGTCTGGATTGCCATGGCATTACAAGGCAATTAGGTACGTTCTCTCTGTATTTTTTTTTATATCAAAACTGTGAATTTAAATCTACTTTGACCCCTGAGCATCAGTAACCAAGGGGCAAATTCTTAGAAATAAAGTCAGTATTGCCAAAATAGAAAGAAGAATGTTTCTGTTATTTGCCTTTTTGGAGGATTTGGAGATTTTATTGGTCTGTATATAAAGAATAAGACATAGTAGATCAGGAAGTTTTTGTTTTATGAGGGAAAGCTAGTATGTCTAAAAGCATTAATTGTACATTTTGTTAGCTTCTCTGTCTGCTATATTAACCAATATGCTGTGTTGAACTAGATCTGCTATTTTCAAAGCTTTTGTGAGACACTTCTTTATTAAGTGGGGTATTAATTCATAAAAAAGTTTATTTTAATTCAAAAAATCAGCAATGATGAACTGCAGGGTACTTTCTATACCCAGCAATTGTATCTAGGCAAGAGCTGTCAGTCTGGTAAAGAAACTGGTTGTTATTTGAAACTAGACTAAAACCTTTTAGAGTTTTACTCGACTAAAACTATTAGATTTTGTAACGACTAAAATGCGACTAAGACTAATAATATTTTTCGTTCTGAATCTAAAAACTAACACGAAATCTAAACCTGTCAAAAACAACACTGCTATGCCAAATCTGAACAGCCTTTAGCCTTATAGACGTCAGAGCAGTAAGTGGATAGTAACTAGTCAACTGCATTTACTTGAGTAACTTTTAGGGGAACAAAATAAAAGTAGTTTAAGGAGCTTCTTTAAGGTGCAGATACTTTTACGCTATACACTTTTGAGAGTATTGGTGCTAGAGTCAATTTTCTGGTATCATCACAAATAATTTGAGATATTCGACGATCAGATCAAAATACTGTAAACAGCTCTCTATTTATATATATATATATAGATATAGATAAACAATATGATATCTGTCACTTAAAACCCATCAACACAATACAGTGAAATTTTTGGTATGACATGGAACAGTTCCAGAGGTGTTCTTTTTTATATCTTTTTTTTTTAATCTAAACAATAATACCTACCACAGGGCCAGTTGTTAAACCTCCACTTCATAACTATTTTCTCATCAGGTACCTGAAGCAAAGAGAATTCATCATTACCATTTGTACAGATATAACGATACACTTGTTGGGTAAAAATGTATGTTTCCCAGAATAAAAAAGCCAGCCTCACCAGCTCTGTAAATTCTCCAAAGACGTTTCCTTCTAGAAGCCGAAACTTTCCGCCCCTCTCTCCATCCACTGTTGCAGGACTGCGCGTGAATGCCTGAACCATCTGAAAACCCCAAAAGATACCAACAGTGTTACCACCTGAGAACCTAACTTGTCTGGTAACAAGGTTAGTAGTTTGATAGTAGTTGATAAAACGGCAGCGGGTTAAACTCACGTCCTGGTTGAGAAACACTCTGTAGAGTTCAGCTGGTGAGGTGAGAAATGTATCTTTAATGGTGAATTTACAGGTGGGGATTTTTACACCCGTGTTGACTGGAGCTGCTTTGCTGCTTCCCGAGGAAACCTGTTCCAACAAATTGATAAAACAAAAGTTCCAGTCTGTGTCCTTTGGTATTATTCAACAATGTAAAACATCATCTTCTATAATTGGCTGAAAATTCTTCCATCTGTGACACAAACCTGAGTTTTATCCATAGTGGCTTTGGACTGAGAAGCTGACTGAGGCTTGGCTACACCGTTAGCAGTAGGCAGGATCATCCCTTGTGTAAATTCTGCAAGTTTAAAAAAAAAACAATAAGAATTTAATGGAGGACCACCGCTTCTAATAAAACAGTTCACTGCACAACTAGATTGTATTGCAAATCAAATATTTTCAGTTTCTTTTTGTTTAACAAGGGGAGTAAGAGTCTTGTAGTTAGGACATAGAGCTTGGAATCCTGAGGTTGCGAGTTCGCAACCCGCTCCCACAGATTGCCACTCTGGGTCTCTGAGCAAGACTTAACTCCAGATTGCTACCGGGACGCCCCACGATGGCAACCCACTGCTCCCCACGTGGATGGGTTAAATGCAGAGGTAAATTTCTCCAAAAGTTCAATTATTATATAAAAAAAAAAATCTGAAACTTCTTTTTAAAGTCAGTTTTATTTGTTGTTACAAACCTGTTTTCAAAAAACCGACGTAACTCCCCAGCGCCTCGCGGACTTTCTCGGCTCCTTTAGTTTTCATCAGGTTGATCAGGGGCGTGTCGGGCTCATCCTTGTTCAACGTAATGGAAATCTGAATAAATGGACCACAGGACATGCGTCAGTGCAGCCGTCCCTCAGATACACAGCTCGGGAATGGGGGGAGGGGGTCATCGAATAGGTGTAAAGGTGGAACTTACATCGAGGTCCTCCATGTCATTCTCATCAGACAGGTTTGGCACTTCGATCGAACCTTTATATTTGACGCCGGTTTTTGACTTTCCTGTTAAAAAAAAGAAACACCACAATGATCTATGCGTTTTATTTCTAGCCAGCCTTCCTATAATAAATAAAAACCACTTTAATCTTAGTTTACAGGCTACTTCATGGGCAGTGGTGCTTAAACTACATGTCATCCAGGTTACAATCGGAAGGTTGAACATGTAACTGTTTTTAATGCGTATGACATTAAAAAATGGCAAAAATGTGTGGCCACTAATGGCAAGGTTAGGCTTATAATCAATATTAAAACATACAGAATAAAAAGTTTTATATTTCTGCCTTCAGAAGACAAAGAGCAGCTGTAAACATCATTCAAGCCTGCTTTTCACTCACCGGTCCAGGTTGCTTTTAGGTTCCATTCATAGAAGAAAATTAGTTTCCCTTTGCGGTTGTTAATAGAGGCCTCTCCTTCCAATTTGCCGACTTCCGTCACCTCACACCTTCCCTCCTCGCTCTCCACGCTCAGCCCGAGCAACAAGGATTTCAGCTTATCTGAAGACCAATTAGTGGCATCTCTTTCAGTCCTGAAAAAGTCAGAGATGATCATGAGAAAACTGCATTCAAATCAAATACAGCAGACGTGATGAACAGTAAACACTAAAGGGCAGATTAGACTTCTGCAACCGCACACATCAAATGTTACTTGTGTCTGGTCGCGAACCAGTTTTGCTGGTATGCTTCTG